GGGGGGGGCACTCTTTTCTTACTTTTTTGGCATTTTCTGACTTGCGCATTAATTTTAAGCATGTTAGAAATATTTTTAAGGTGTCTGGACCTCTAGAAAGTATAAAATAATATGATGATAAAATACAAATTCCTGTTATTTGCTTCTTTATTTTAGGCTTAGGCTAAAACGCACGCGCTTGCGTATTTGGGAGGGCACCCAAATTTTTTGAATTTGGCGCCATTTTCGGATGTCCCAGTGAAAAGAAAACAAGGGGAAAATAGCCTAAGCTTATAATTTACAAAAAAAACGAAAAAAATTTGAAAAAAAATTTCAGCCAGAAAAATACTGAAATTGGCGATAATCAGTGAAAATGGCACATTTTGGCTGAAATTTTTTTTCAAAATGTTTGGTTTTTGTTTGAAATTATAGGCTTAGGCAAAAACGCCTTGTTTCCCTTCCTCTGGGACACCCTCATTTTGGCGCCAAATTCAAAAAATTTGGGTGCCCCAACTCACAAAAGCCAAAATAGGTGAAAAATGCGAATCACATCAAAAATGCTGATTGAGAATGCTTCATTTCCGAAAAAACTTACTCGAGAATCGGTTTAAAGTTCCAAATATTCATATTTCAAGTGCCAAGGCGTTTTAGCCTAAGCCTAAAATAAAGAAGCAAATAACAGGAATTTGTATTTTATTATATTATCTTATACTTTCTAGAGGTCCAGATACCTCAAAAATATTTCTAACATGCTTAGAATTAATGCGCAAGTCAGAAAATGCCAAAAAAAGTCAAAAAAGAGTGCCCCCCCCCCCCAACCAACATAGCGCCGAAAAATCATCCTCCGAAAGCTTTCAAATTTTCAGAATTCATTCCTCGACTACAAAAGCTCAGCCAGAATGTGTTAACCGAAAACCCGATGATTCTGAAAATCGAGAGCTATATCGTGGAGAACAATCAAGACAATCAAAATTCGAGAACAACACGGAAGGAAATGAAGAATCGACGGCTTCTAGAAGTGAGCAACTGGAAAAGTTGGCGCAGTTTTCAAACGGAACTGTTCGAGTCCTCGTTTCTACTTCTGTTGCTGAAGAGGGATTGGATGTATCTGCATGCAACCTGGTTATCAAATATAACTATTCCACAAATGAGATTGCACATGTACAAAGAAGAGGTGAACTGATTTAAGATCAATTATCGAAAAAAGATAATTTTAGGTCGTGGTCGCGCCAGTGATTCGAAATCTATCCTGATCACGAATGATGAGTCTCTCAGAAAACAAGAAATAGCTAATATGGAAAAAGTTATTGCTAGTGGAAGTAAACCAATAGATAATTAAGTTATTTTCAGGAGAAACTGTGCGAAAAGGCCATACAATTGGCGCAAGAGAATATCAGCGAGTTTCAGCTTTTGATTAATCGGAAAAGTGATGAAATTTGGCCACGATTGCAGTCGGAGCGTACTGAGAAAATACGAATCGATCGAATGTTGGAACTGAAAAACTCAACATACAGGATTGTTTGTCGTAAATGTGATGGTCTACTTTGCACAAGTCAGGATATTTCGTCACGTCAGGATAATATGTTTCTAGTGTGCAACCCGGAATTCTGGAAGATAGTTGTCATTCTGCCCGTTCAGCCTAACGCATACACAAGAGGAAGTGTAAGTTCAAATGTTTAGTTAAAACCTTCAGCGACACAATCACATTCAGATCTTACACGCTGCTCCGAACTGTGGATCTCCACTCGGACAGCTTGTGGTAGTTCCTGGATGCGCAGAAATGCCCGTTCTCGGGGCTAAAAGTGAGCAATGATCAATATTAAATAATTTGTTCTGAATCTTCAGATATCGTTCTTATCGACGAGGCGGATGGAAAACGATCTATTGTGAATCAATGGAAGGAGGTATTAAATAGTATTGCGGCATAAAAAACTTTCATTTTTTCAGATCCGAACCAAATATTTCAAGCCAAAACGTGTCACAGAACTAGAAGTGGCAGTAATGCGCGATGCTCGTTTGAAAAAAATAACTTTTGAAGTTTCGGGACCACCCCCCCCAACCGACCTAGCGCCGATTTTTCTACAAACCTTGAAGTGTTTCTTTCATTTCCTTAGTGAAGAATACTTCGCCTGCTCGTAGGTTATCTTCTAAATACGTCCATGCAGTTTTCGGATTGAAATTAGAGTTGTAGCAGAGAATACGATAGCATTGCTATATTGTATTAAAATTATTAATTTGATTCATTCCACTCAATAAACCTCTAGAACTTGTATTGCTTCATTGATCTTATTTCTATCTCCGCGAACATTCTTTCTGCTAAATTTCGTTTTGTAACACTCAACCAGTTGAGAAATTTGGTGTGGTCCTTTTGTGGTAGCTCTGCTTTTCCTCCATCAGAAACTTTAATAAGCTCTTCTACGTCGGCTGTAAAACTAATGAATTGCGAGTGAATCTTTTGATATAATATTACTAAATGCTTTATACATCAATTGAAATACTTTATCCATCAATTTCATCACTGAAACTGCAAAGTCTCTGCTTGTTCCGTCAGTCGACTTTGGGAAGAAGTCAATTTCTAAAAAAAGAGGGATCTGACTTCTGAAAGAAAATAAAAACTAAACGAACGTTCTGGAATGATCGGTGAGAAATTTCTCAGATCTTCTTTGTACTCCTGAACGGTACTTATTTTATTTACATCCAGAGTTGAGCACATATTCGCAATGTGTTCGACTTCTTTATCTTTGCTCTTGCCGACTCCAAGAGATGCAGTAAGTCCCACTATTTGAGGAAGATGTTGACCATCCGGTACAGTTCCCATGTTTTTGAGATTATGATACTCCCGCATGATATCTATTTTGAAAATTTTGAATTGAAATTTTGTAAATTAAGCTCACTTGCATAGGGAGAGTTGTTCACCGTACTATGACACTCATCGAAAACGATTATTGTGAAGGTTGAAAGATAGAATTTCTCGTTCGAGAACTCTGATAATTCGTCATCATGTTCGTTGCACAGATTACTGTAAAAAGCAAAACTAGTGGTAAAATCATGTCGAAAACTTACACAATCATTTGAGGTGTTGCCACAATAACATCATTAGAAAGAACTGCTCCGCGAACCGAAGTGTTATCTGATCCTTGACAAATTCTGATCTTAAAAATCACTTTTAAAAAAACATTCTACTTTTTTTTCGTTTACATTGTAAGCGTGTCCGAGATAGTACTTCAATTTGTCGGCTTGTTGATGTAGAATCGTCGTGTTTGGTGTCATGAAAAGAGCCTTAAATCTTTGCTCCTTATTTTCCTCGACTTCGAAGTGATGTTTGATAATTTTAGCTGCCACTACAGTCTTTCCAGTTCCAGTTGGCGCGGTGATGATAGTATTGACGCCTTCTATAGCCAAGCGACACAACTCTTCTTGATAGTTACGAAGAATGATTGGATTTTCAGTTTGAACACATGGATCAATTGAATTCAGAACTGTTCGACGAGTTGAGTAGTTGGCAATCCTATCGAACCGATAATTGACTGATCTAAAAGTGATTTTTTGAGACAATTTAGTGTATTTAATATAACCTCAATCCGATCGGAAGATCATCTAAACCTAAATGAATCATCATGTCACTGGCTAACACATCAACGTCGCAAACTACAATTGATTGTTCGCCTTTGGCCGTTTTGAAATGATTCAAAAATTCTCCGCTTTTCAACTTGAATATCGAATCAACGAAATGCCGAGCTTCTGCTGATGAACCTTGCGAACTGTGTTCATATATCGTGAATAGTATATCAAGAACAGCGAAGGTTCCAAGCTGTGGAACAGAACGAAGAATCATTTTCTTTTTCTCCATTTCTCTTTCATTTTGCTCATCTTCAGTTTGTTCATCCTGATTCTCTTGGTCGATTCTCTCCAGTTTAGGTATCAACCGTTGAACAGTCTCGTCATAAGCAGGAATCGCACGTAGATAAGGTATGACTGCATCTGGCTCAATATATTTCAGAAATCCATCCAAATTAG